CATGAAATGGCCAGCACAATCACCAGATTTAAATATAAAATATCGGGCTCTACATGAAGAGAGAGCTACAAAAGTCTGTGGTAAATATCGGTACCAAAAATGATCTCCTGCGGAAATCCAGAGTGTCTGGAAGAACATCGAATTGGATTATATAAGAAAGCTTTACCAGCCCATACCTGACCGCCTAGACAATGTAATCAAAATGAAGGGTCATCTCACTAAATATTAAGCTGCTTTTAAAGTTAGATTTGCCGAATACGGTGTTAGCGCGCGTAAAATGTAAACAAACGCCGCCATCTTGAAAGTGACGAATACTTATGTCCCTTGACTGTAGGTTTTCAAAGAAAACATTAACCCCTGTTTTGCTAAATCAGGGAATTTGTTGTGCTATGCCTAATCAACGGGCCTTTTAAGAGCAATTGAAGGGTAAGAATCAGAGTATTTCTAAACAATGATACTGATTTGGCTTTAACAATTCATTTTCACTTACCAAATAAAGAATAAAGGCTTCATGTCAACAACTTGTCTTGTTTATGGCATAATTATGAATCATACTCAAAATTCCATTTTGCATGGCCTTAAAGGGGCAGGGAGTGTTTGTCAATGTGGCAAAAATTCAACAAACCTTGATACGCCAAATTTTTCTCAACTGATTTTGATACTTGGGTCACTAAAGTAAATAATGGTATAGGTACCGAAGTTATGCAAGAAGGCAGGTTAAGATAGGCTGACTTTTTGAAAAATGGCAATTTTGGTGGTAATTTTGACCTCAGTTTTTGCCAAACTCAAGCCCCATGCTCCTCTCTCTCTAATACCTTGAGGGCAAAGTTACATGCATGAAATAAAAGCTCTAATATAGTACAGTCCACGGTCAAATTCATTTGACATGTCCCCTGGAAGGCTGGATTTTTGGTGCTCAAAGGGCAAAAACTGAGACCCCCCTGAAACTGGCCAAAACTAACAGTCAGAGAAGTGAGCAAAATTGGCGTTTGAAATATCTCATCGCACCGAACTTCTGTGCCAAGTTTCAGCCAAATCGGTTGACCATAACTTTTGGCCCCTGGAACACTTTTTTTTTTTTTTTTTTTTTTTGA